GATGCAGATCTTTGAGTGTCTTTAACAGAGAAAAAAATGAATAGAGTGTTATCGAAAGAAAATGTATTACTTTGTTTCGATGTAAGGCGTTGGCAAGATATTGTACGGCCTCGTCATCGATTGAATTGGATGCAATATCTAACGAAGTGAGTGCCTACGTTCCAACGGTCGGTACCGAATAAATACAGAAATGACTGAGTCGATATTTATTACTTTGTTTTGTTCGAGAGCAGCAGCGAGATATTGGGCACCCACTGGTCCAATTTGATTTCCATGCAGTTCAAGTATAGCAAGTGTCTAGACGGAATCAAATGCAGAATCAAAACTTGATGAAAACAATAGTACCTCATTACGTTGCAATGCATCGGCCAGATGCTGTGCTCCCTGTGGTCCAATTTGGTTGTCATAAAGATCAAGTGAAATCAGTGTCTACACGAACGAAAATATTAGAAGTGATCGAAAGAGGCTAAGTCTTACTTTACTCCGTTGCAAGATATTTCCAAGATGTTGAGCTCCTGCTGGACCTATTTGATTATTGGAGATGTCAAGCGTAGTGATTGTCTGCAAGTGATTAATGAACAGTGAAATAAGAAGAAAAGCAATGAAATAGTACATTATTTTCTTGTAAACCATTGGCAAGGTGATAAAATTCTTGATCGCCAATTTGATTAGCACCACAATTCAATGTGGTCAGTGTCTGTAGGAAATAGCGAGGTAATCATTAAAATGACGAAGAGAAAGATGGTCACTTTATTTTGTTGCAGAGCATTTCCAAGATGTTCTATCCCTTCCAAACCGATATTACTTTCACGAATATTTAGAGTAGTTAGTGTCTACACATAGTTTTTTATAAAGAGAAAAGGTGAAGTGATCAGCAAACGATTACTTTGTTCTCGCGTAGAACTCTAGCAAGATGTATCATTCCTTCAGTACCGATATTATTATTTCGAAGATCAAGTGTATGGAGTGTCTATATATGAAGTGGATACATTCAGTGATATAATCGAGATCTATTACTTGATTTTCTCGCAGAGCGTCAGCAAGATGTTGTATTCCAGACGAAGTGATATCGTTGTGTCCGACATCGAGTACTCTAAGTGTCTAAATAAAACCAGCACTAGATTAGCTTAGAAATAAAATAAGCAAATGACATTACTTTGCTATGCTGTAAGACACCGGCAAAATACTCAATTCCAAGATCATCTATTCCATTTGCATCGAGATAGAGAACAGATAGTGTCTATGTCAAGGATTGTTTATGAAAAATGAAAAAAACGTATAGGAACACTTTACTTTATTTTGCAATAAAGCATCAGAAAGATATTGCATTCCTTGTGCATCAATTTCATTACCCGATAGATGAAGTGCAGATAGTGTCTATATGTGCATGACGTATAAGTAAAAGAAAGGCATACAAAAAAACATTACTTTGTTTCTTTGTAGAGCATCGGCGAAATAGTTTGCTGCTTGTGAAACCATTCCATTGAAGCTGACGTTCATTGTTGTAAGTGTCTTTTATAGAACATAAATATGAGCGGTGAATTGGAAGAACAGATAAACGCAGAATCTTGTTACTTCATTTTGTTCTAACATTTTAGCGAGTAAAGAGGCTCCTACGAGACCGATTCCATTAAAGGACAGATCCAGTGTAGTAAGATTCTGTATAAAATGTAAACCGTTGACAAGATTTTCCACTTTTTCATCGTTCAAATCTTTCCGACGAAGATCAAGTTCTGTAAGTATCTGTGAAGATTGAATAAGAATACTTTCACATAAGTACGTCAAAGAGAAATTTACTTGATATCGATGATAAGTATTTAGAATGTTGTTAAAACGTGCACAAACATTGTGCATGGAACAAATCATCGTCAAATCATCGAAATGATCGAAAATACGATAAACTAGCTCTATCGGCAATGTAAAAAATGATGCCATTGACACCTTGCTGAAATGAAATAAGTTTTAAAGTATAATATATCAATATATCAAGAGAATAAAAACAAATATTGGTTATTTCACAACCACTTATAAAAAAAGAGGACGATAGTACATAGATGTCATAGGACAACTGATGTATGAGTACTTTAAGAAAGTGTAGCATCATTTATCTGGCTTCAAAATTACTCAGTGAAGTGCTTTGAGAGTAGAAGTCTTCCAAGGAACATTACTCACTTGCTCTAGACGAACATTGCAGTTCCACGTCTCTTAAGATCCTTCAAAACAAGCGAGTGTCGGAGCAGTTGTTGTGGTTTCGTCACTTGCATCAATGAAAAGATGCGTATCTTCATTCTTTAGATAATCAGCTCCATCAGTAAGAGCAGCAATCTTCTTCGTACCGTTATCAATATAGAAGCTAAGAGGAACTGCGACAACCCGGTTCGAATCGAGAGCTTGAAGTGATTTCAGAGCTTTGACATCGTGTTCTACAGCGAATCAGAAAATGGAATGACAGTATTAGATGGAAAACAAGCAGTTTCTCAGTGAACGATCTTTCTTTGAAGATCTTCTGGAGTCGATAACTAAGTAGAACCAAAGCTTTCCGTTCAATTAGAATCGTATCATCATTTTGAAATATCGTTGACATCGTCAGAGATGTCTAAAGTTTGGGGAGAAGAGTTTATTTCAATATTCAATTGGAGATTTCATAAAGATCTACTTTCAATAACACCCCCACCCACCCTCACCCTCACCCTCAATAAGCGCTTTGAAATGTTTCAATTCGGTCAAACGCATCACGGCTGTCTTATATTCCGGATGGTTAACATCGAATACTTCCTTGTATATCTTAACCGCCATTTCGTAGTAATGTATAGCCATTGAAATATCGCCGTTTAGCGCTAGAATGGTACCCATAGTAGAAAATGTTCGAGCAAATGTTGGATGATTTGATGGATAAACACGACGTTTGATTTCCAGAGAAAAATTACAATAGTGCAATGCTTGTTCAGTATTACCTTGATCTGCATAATACGATGCAAGATTGCTATAGAACATCCCTAGTTCTGATTCGTCAGGAGTTTGAGCGTTTTGTATACAATTGATGGCTTTTCTTGTATATTCTATGCCTTGTTCGATATTGCCCATACTATGATACACTACACCGATATTATTGTACCTTTTAGCAATACTTATGCTCATCCCTTTTTCAAATTGTTCCTCGGTTTGTAAGCTTTTTTGTAGATAATACAACGCTAATTCGTATTCTTCTTTTTTACGATAGATAACACCAATATTGCCATAAACACCAGCCAGTGCAACATGACTGTATATGCCATTAATGGTGTATATTCGTTCTGCTTCTTTATATTGGCGAAGTGCTTCATCATATTCGCCTTTGGCGTCATATACCCCTCCAATTTCCTGATAAGCGCAGGCAATCGGTAGTTTGTTATCGGCAAATAATCCCTGAAGAATTTCAAGATTTCTTTTGCAATATTGTAATGATTTATTGTATTGTCCTAACTTCAAATAAGCTGCACCTATGCTAGAGTATAGTCTCGCTGCCATCATATCGTTATTCAAATGGCGATGTTCCACGATTTCATGCGCATGAAAATAATTTTTAAAGGCATCATCATAATTTCCAAACCTTTCATAAGTGTCTCCAATGCGTGTTAGAGTACGCACAAATACATTCGGACCTACTGTTGGGTATTTCAAGTGAATTTCTAATGCCGTTTTGTAAAAGCTCATTGCTCGTTCATAATCTTCTTCTTGTGCATAAATTTGTCCAATGTTGTTATAAATATGGCAACAAACTGGATGCATGGAAGAACCTTCCATTATATAACAATTTAAAGCCTTTATATAGTAGTATAGACCGCGTCGATAGTTATGCTTAACACAGTTGCAAATACCAAGAACATTGTAGATTTTCCCAGGATTCTCAGTGTACTCTTCGAGTAACATAAGCAGATATTTTTCTGCTTTGCCATACGAATACGATTCATTTAGAAGTATAGCCAATTCAAACAGTGGATCATCACAGTCCTCCAAACGGGAGTATGAATTCTTGAGGTAATCATTCAATTTCACCCTGCTCTCATCAGTTGCTGTAAGCTGTATTTTCCAAACATTGTTTTCCATTTGTTTAACAGACTGTACTACGAATAGCATGCCCATAGAGAGTAAGACTTCATTTTCGTCCGACATATGGCTTACGTTTGAGATATCAGCTAGTGGTTTGTGCGATCGATTCACATCGATTGTGATTTCAAAAAGTACTGACTCGATTTCTGGTCGATTGGACCCATCGCCAGCAAATATGAGTGCAACATCTTGACGCTTTGTTGTAGACAAGAAAGATTTTAGCGAGATGATGGTATTTTTACTAGCTTTTAGATTATTCAACTCGCTGGCTTCCATTTGTTGACCGCGGTAAACTGTAATAACATTCGAGTTTTCCGTTTTGAATTTATTATGTAAATCACTGAGTGCATCATAAAGATCGATTACAAAACTTCGAAACTTGAATATGATATCAATATCTTCAGTTTGAAGCGCTTTGTTTATTACTTTATGAATGAAACAATCTTGAGTGTACCACGAAATAGCCGATTGAGGTTGATATGTCTTTTCAAACCGTTCAATTTTTCTTAATTCACTGGGATCATCATGATATTGGACCCTGCATATTGTTACCATATCTTGTCTTGATCTATCGTTTTGAGGTAGACGCCGTAGAGCTTCCAATAACATTTGATTCCACTGATAAGTTGCACAATGTGAACTCAGATCGTGGCTAGACGTAGTTTTCATTGAGAACAGCATCGGTTCCACTACAGGCATCTGCAACAACTCTATATCGCTTTTCACACGATCACATAGTTGTTTATTTAATTCATAGACTCTGTCTCGAATCTTTGGAAAATGATGTGTCCAATTCAATTGTTCCGAATCCATATTTGAGATTTCTTTCTCAAAGCAAATATAAATGTATATCAGCTGCGGAATCTCATGAATGAGTGGCACCAACAATTCAGCTTCACTCAAGAATACAATTAAAAAACTTTTTCATACTTAAACGAAGAAATAAAATCAACGCATTCATCAACATCGCGAAACTTTTCGTAGTACGAATAGTCACCATCAAACGTGAATAGCACATTGAGTTGCGTTTCAATACTTACTATATGATTGACATTAAGAAAGACAATTACAAAGTCATCAGAATTAGATGGTGTTGCCATAATTTCAAAGGCAATCTGTTCATTACATAGCTGCACAGTACGAACACGCGGATTAGCAGCAAAAGGGCCATATACATCAATCATATCAATAGTCGCAGGACGTTCATTTCGTTGCAGAAATTCAGACATTTTATATGAACATCAAATCTAAAAGGACCTATTCAAAAATGTAGTGATCTGAAATTATAGAAATACCATCTCGTATCAATCTAATTAGCGGGATGAGAATATACACACCCTTATCTTCACCCAAGACCGTTCGGAAGCTTTATCAAGAATTTGCTTATAAGCAGAACAAAAAAAACAATTTACTTGACCAAATACAGCGTAAAAGTAGTGACTGAATTCATCATTCTTTCTTTTCTATTTATGATACATCGGTGATAAATCGCTATTCATCTATTGCGTTGTCGATAAGTGATAAGAGGAGAAATTCGAAGAACAAAACAATATTGTCAAGTTGGAAAAAAAAACATCGTTGACACCCATAGATTTCGTTACGTATTCAATGTTGCCCTAGCCTGATCAAAATCAGATAGATTAATGCTGGAAACTTATTGTGCCAAATAAGAACACTGAGAAATCAAGCTCTTGAAAACAGTTGCGCTGTGAAAGAAATTGTATAGACACCATTCCTGCATTCAACATATGATGTAGCTTGCAATTCAGGTTTCCTAACCCTAATGTGGATATTGCCAAAGAAGAATTCGAACAAATGCAAATCAGTAGTAATAGTTCTATTCCGATTCATAGGTTTTTCCTAAACTAACCAGCCGCCTCGAAGAAAATATGCACAATGTCACCGTGCAATCGCCTCTTACTATGACGAGAAGCGTTGCATACTATTCTATATTAAGATTAATCCAATTTTGAGATCCAAAGAGATTTGTGGATATGACTGTGAGCGACTATCAGAGAGTCTCTCACATGACGCTGCATCTTTTATAAATCTGAATTTCTTCGTACAATAACTACATCATACAATAAACGTGTGCTGACGACATGTTTGCTTGCCTATGACATCGAGACAGAATCATTTTCACAATCCACGTGCAATGTTACGCAAGACCATACTCACATTCTTATGTGTAACAGAACGGACGTTTTTATTTCATGCTCAAAGGAAAACGGCACTTATTTCGCAATTAAACTGTAACAACGTACGTAAATCAGGTCCCTATTTCCCTTTGCCTATATATGACCTACTGTCCTCAACAATTGTTTGACAGATTTTTTAAATTTCATTTTGAATTAATAGATGGCTGAATCGCATGTGTTTAAGACAACTACAGTGGATGAACATAGTGACGCTGAAGACGCTTCATTTTCAACTGGATCTTCAAGACCTAGTCGTGCAAATATTGCCAAGGATACTCTTGAAAAACTCAAAGCTGGCTGGTATGAATCACCTGATGGCACCAAAATCGTCCTTGAAGATGATGTCACATTCTCTAATCAACAGAGTATTTTATATACCGAAGACGATCTCCAAAATACAAAACAACTGAATGCAAACTTAGACGAAACAAATCCTACACGTCTAACTTCCGATAGTTCTCAAACCAAAATAGAAACTCGACTTTGCTCAACATTAGAAGCAGCCAGGTCACTCGTTGCTGAGGTAGGCGAAGATCACGTCGGAGTGTTGAATTTCGCTTCAGCTAAAAATCCTGGTGGTGGCTTCCTCGGTGGCGCACAAGCACAAGAAGAATCTATTGCTCGCTCTTCGTCACTTTACATGGCTATTACACAAGATCAATTCATGGATGGATTCTATAGTTATCATCGACATGGTGAACGAGGTGTCTACAGCCACCGAATGATCTATTCTCCACGAATAACTATTTTTCGAGTATGTTAACAAGATCAGAACTTTCTTTGGTTTATATCATATCGTTTTTTTTATTGTCTTTACAGAACGACAATGGATATCTATTACCGTTACCGTATCATGTAGGCATTATTACTTGTCCTGCCCCTAATGCAGGAGTAATTAATGATCGAATAGACAGTCGAAATCTAATGAGCGAACGTATTAAGCGTGTACTATACGTTTTTAAAGCGCATAAACACGACACACTTCTATTAGGGGCCTTCGGCTGTGGTGTATTCAAGAATAATCCATATGACGTTGCTCTAGTCTTTCGAGAACAATTAGAATCGAACTTATACAAAAACTCATTCAAACGCATTGTTTTCGCAATTACAAACCCTGCAATGTATCAAATATTCAAACAAGTCTTCGATTCTCCCAATCTACACGAGCTACAACAACAAATGGCATTAATGACTTTCAATCAGAACAAGAAAAAACATTCGTCAGATAAAAATCGAAAACAGCAGAGAAAAGAACGACGTCAACAAAAGTATCAGAACGATTAAACACAATGTTTATTCAAACGAATGTATATCCATCATCCATACTCGATTAAATTAAACAGTTACTAACATTCGATTCACTGGATTCTTCTATATTTTCACTCTAATGAAATTATTGAGAACATCCTTAACTTTCTTATTCATGAACACTGAAATAGTTATCATTATGGTCGCAGATAAGACTAAAAAGTTGAGCGAAATAAAATATAATTCATCCGGAGGACGTTGACTGTTGTTCAAATTCCAAAAACAAAGGATTAAATAAGGAGTCGCACCGCACGCCAGTATACTCAGAAGTATTAGAAGTTGTTGCAAGATCTTCAAATTTCGTTTGGCATTTCGATATGAAGGAGTTCTATCAATATTTGGCGACACTTTCGCTACTACCAAACGAATCTGATAGAGAATAATACCATAGATATATATTACGCCGATAGTTGGCAACATAGATGACGTGGTGAGAGTATAGAGTGGCATAGCCTTTGTTTTCATTGTAATCATACACATTCGATCGCCCTCGACTAAACCGAAACCATTTTCATAGAAAAATGGGACAATGGCGATGAGAAACGATACCACATATTTAACAGTTATCAATATCCAATGTGTTCGCCATGTAAGCCAAGTTCGATTGTTATAAAAACGCGTAAAAAACAATCGACTGATCGATTGAATAAAGAACGAATACGAAGCAGACGTTATTGTTACGTCCAAAAGATAAGCTCGTAGGGTACACAGCGGTTGATTTTCTGACCAATTTTGACGTGTGCCATAATAACACCCAGTAAAATGTAACGAATAGAAGCACAGCGCAGTAAAGCACAACTCACACAGAAGTAAATTTGTTACTGTATGAGATTTTCGATGAAAACTTATGATAACGATCAATAAAAGACTGAATATGAAGCCAATGCACGCAACCACAATCATAAATATGAAGTTCACTGCAAAAAACAGCTCTGTCAGCATTTCTATTCGCCTTTCTACAACTATAGTTCAGCAGAAAAAACGATTAAATGATCATTTTTTTCACTTTTATAATGTGCTTGAGTGCATTTATTGAAATATTATGAATGTAGGCATGTGTACTTATTTTGTAGCGAACTTATCCACAGTTTCATGCCAATGCCCATAATGCAAACGTCATGAAATGTAGGTCACTGAAACATTATTCACGCTTCTATTGTTCTGCGTGTCAAAAGCACGCTATCGAACGAATAATATTAGAAGATAAAAATCCGTTTGTTTGTCGAACGACTAATCTTGACATGTTTCAGCCATCTGCAACAGAAACATTACCTGTGACTTTTACACAAATTAGTGATCGAGTGATTTTCAAATCGTTACCGAAGAATTAAACATTGTAATGTGACGGTGATGATGAGCGCGTGATGTTTCTTTATCAACTATGCAAAAAATCATGCTCATAAAACGAACTAAAGAAAAGTGTCTATAATCTCGAAATATTTCCCCTTTCATAATGAATACGATTAACGTAGCATTAAAAGCAAAAGAATATTTAAGTGTATATTCGATTCGAATATCCATATCGCTGGAATTAGCACGTATTTACCCTCGACAAAAGAATAGCTTTTCTAATTTGTTGCTCCATTTCGGCATGAATCCGCAGGACACAAATGGAAAAAGGCATATGGTGTAAATAACAAGAAGTATATACTGTCAAAATAAAAGCTAGTTAAGCGTTCTGTTACCAGATTGCTCGTGGAAAATTGAAAATTAAGTACGGAAACGAGATAGATAACAGCTGAATGGTCATTTTACGTTGTTTTCGCTATTGAATTGCGCGATTCAATCGTGTTTTTTGCCAGATGACACGAAACTACAGAGCACTACTGAGAATAATCACAATAAATGTAGCTATGATTTGATGGCGTCATCGTACGATGGAAATAGAACGTACGCAAGAATAAAAATTTATAGGAAGGTAATGAACGAAAAAGCGCTTCTTCCTCGTTGATATCCGTGTTTGATAAAATGTAAGAATGTGATGCCGCTCAACTGATGCCCACGCAAAGCCAACTAATTGTGCTAGGTGGCATAGAGTATTCGAAGTCACATAGAGCCGAAATCGTACCGACAAAGAAATTGATGTAGAAGTCTCCATTGCGTTAAATCTGCTGTTGAATATATTCTTTGGATTTGACTTCTGAACAAAAATTCAAATAAGTTGGGTGTTCTCTGTCTGCAAAAAGATCTTCCCAGGCAAATTGATTAGTTTCTATGTAATTACCATTATATCACGCGGTCTACGCACGACTTCGTTGAAACAAGCTTGATGGACAATTATCTTCATGCTTTGTGAGAATATTGACGGATGAAGAACTTCTATGAAATAAATATATCAAACGTCATTTGCACTCAACACATCTGCGCAATAAGTTTGTCAATCAAACTTTTGTAAAATTCTATCAAAGTTCTTTTTCTACAAATTTTTTATCATAACACAAACATTGTCAGAATTACCAAACACCACGCCTTTCCATTAGAATTAAGCTTTGTATGATTTACAACGATGACAATTAAGAAACCACGGGTATACATCGCTTGTACAAGAGGGATACTCGATCCATACAGTTACTTCCTGTCCGTTATAGAACACCCATGTTCTTGTTAATCTGCCACCACTAATCTTCTTTTCGAATAACTTCAACATCGACGATGTGACGTACAGATAAAGAATTGAAGATTCTCGGCACTAATTAACTTGCGATCGAACATATAATGACCGTTAATTCACCAAGAAAACATAGTAAACTATCGGTAGACAATCAAATCAACATAGAAATCTGTTTTGGCATCAAGTGCTACAATGAGGGTGTAGGTGTGATTTTACAACTGAACGGCTTTGCCAGTGCTTATTATCACTAATAATATGGCTAACTCCTACCAACTATTTTGCAAACAAACGCGAATTAGTATCTTTTAGTGTTTAGCTTCTAAAACTGCCATCCTAACAAATAATTCTCCTTGCATTTAATATTTTAGTTTGATAGATACTAATAAATTTTACTACATTAAGAAAATGTTTTCACTCCGAGTACATGTGTGATTTTTATTATATACTCGACAACATTTAGAAAGTTATGTAGTTTTAATTTAACTAATTGCATCTATGATCGTTTTCAAAAAATTATTAGCACCATACTCTTCATCGGGTGTTTTTGTCAAGCCTAATCGAACAACAACTAACTTCTTCGATGGAATAATAAATACTGCTTGACCATCAAAACCACTGGCAAAAAACATATCTGTTGGTACATCGGGTAAGCGCCGTGTGGATGGATCATTCTCCTTTCCTGTGTTTAGCCAAAATTGATAACCGTATTCACCGTGAAGATTAGAACCTCCTAATGTTGCTGATTGTTTAACCCATTCTTCTGATAAAATCTGTTCATTGTTATAAAAGCCTTTATTCATATATAACAAACCAAATCGTGCCAACAAATGTACCCGATGCATCAACTTCCATCGTCATATTGTTCATGCCAAGTTTATGAAACAGAGCCCGATAGGGAAATGAATGATAGTCCTGTTCGCCAACAGTATGTCGAATAATGCGCGATAGTATATTTGTATTTCCGCTAGTATAGTAACAATACGTTCCTGGTTTATGTTTTAGTGCATGTGAAGCAGCAAATGCAGCCATATCGCCGGTGTTGAATAACATTTGAGTAACATCACTATTTGAATAATAATCTTCGACAAAATCTAAGCCACTATTTTGTTGCAGCAAATGTTTGATTGTGATTGAATGTCGAGGATCATCAGTATTATTCCATTCCGGTACTGGTGCAGGTGTATCAATATTCAGTTTGTTGTCTTTGACGAGGATGCCGACTAATGCACTGATAATACTCTTTGTCATACTCCAACCTAAAAATTTCGTTGATCGGGAATAACCGGTGCCATATCGTTCGGCAATTAATGCGCCATCGTACACAACGATGACTGCTCGTGTACGTATCAATTTAGTGGGATCTTTCTCAATGAATAGCATGTCTACAGCTTCTTGTACTAATGCTCGATTGACGTTAACTGGGTAAACCTCGTCGCTGATTTTATTACCCATTGGCCAGGGAAGGTCATCTTGATTGACGTTTGGTGGCGTGGGAACTTTAAATGGTTGAGTACGGATTTGTTATATATGAATAAAGGCTTTTATAACA